CAGGGCCGGCGCCTCCCTTCGTTGCCCGTGCCGCTCGCTCGATGTGGTTGGCGGTGATCTCGACCTGGGTGAGGAGAGGGAGGGGCCGGTCGAGGAAGCAAGATGCGTCAGGGTCACTCTGAGTAGAGTGCTTCGACTCGAGGACCTCCCGGACGGTGCGGCCCATAGGGTCGGCCTCAGCGAGGTCGTTGGGGTCCAGCGCGCCTCCCCCTCCCCGCTCGGTCAGGAGCCGAACGGCCTGCCTGACCTTGCCCTTGTCGATCAGGCGACGGAATTGGCGCAGAGTGGCTCCGTTGGTGTCGTCCTTGCCGACAGGTCTGGTGGCCAGGAGAGCGTTGTTGCGCTCAGCCTCCTGTACGAGCTGCTAGAAGTCGCCCTTCTCCCATTGGTCCATCCGCTGCTCCACCGTCTTGGCGATGTCCTCGCCAGTGACATCTGGCGCCCGATAGAGAATCGTGCAAGCGCAGATGAGGACGCGCTCACTCGGCAGCTGCTCCTCACGCCACCGACGGCCCTCGGTTGCAAGCAGTCGGGCCAGTCGCTTCCCCGAAGCACCCGGCGGATCCCAAAGGCACCCTCGCAGCGGGCCGAGGCGGGCGTACCAGCGCTGCCAGTCGGTGTCCATGAGGTTGCTCTGTTGATTGAAATCGGTGGCTCCGAAGGCCTCATGCATCCTCTCCTGGACGAATGAAGACGTCGGAGGGCCAGCAGGGGGAGCGAGGGGTATGCCGGGAGGCGGGCGGTGGGGAGGCTCGGCACCATTGCTGAGGCAGGCGTAGCAGATGCCCTTGCTCGAGGACGCCGGGCGGATGTGGCAGCTGGCACACTTGGGAGGAACATACGCCGCGGATCCGCCTCGTAGCGAAGACTCATCCGAGTGGAAGGCACGAGGATGAGTAGAGGGGAGGTTCGACTTCTCGGCGGTGAAGGTATTGTCCTCGGGCTCTCGATTCTCACGTATGCCTAGGTCACAGGAATGGCAGTTGGTGCACTTCTTGCCCTTCTCTTCTTCCCCTTCCTCTTGCACCTCGATCCAGTGGTACTGTTCCGGTCTTTGTTGCATGGGCAACACCGCACAGGACCAGCGGCTGGCTGCAAGGGCGAGGCATCGTCTCCCAGCACTGCAGAGACGCCCTCCTGAGACGGCGGGGGCGGATGAGCTGAGTCGGCTGAGATTGGGGTCGATTCTGTACTCATTCTGCAGAGCTGCTCGAGCTGGATATGATGCTGGCAGGTGTGGCCCGAGCAGCCGTCATATTAAGGAGAAAAAAGGGCCGGAGGCCCTGCGAGCTCAGCAGGGGAAAGGGGGAAAGCCCGATAGTTTACGCGATTCCGAGAGGCTGCGACGCGGGGGGACCACAATCGCAGCAGGCTTGATTTCGCCAATCTGTGAAGCTTCAAGGTCATCCAGCCGGCTGGACATTTTAGGGGGGGCAGCTGTTCACTCAAATCTCGGTAGCTATACAGCCTCGTGAGTCTCACCCACAGATACACGCAACATACACGAAAATAGACAGCGCGCATAGCACGGCCGACGGGCCGACAGAGGTCTAGGACGGGCAGACAGCCTACATGTATGCATCTTTACACTGAGAACTGACGCTGTTTGACTGACGAGGCGAGCAGGCAAACCATGCACAGCCAAGAATTCAACAGGCACGCACCCAAAGTCTCCCTCTCATGGACATGCACGAGCGAGCAGCCGGGCACTGGTGTAGGACAAACACTCGAGTTCGAGCCGGTGAGATCCACCTTTGGTTTCATTGGGGAACAGGTTCTGAACATCCACCTTATGAACTAGCTCTTTGACTCCTTTGTGCTCATCCGTAAGTGCAAGGACGTCATCGATTGTGCGCTTGCTGTTCGTCAGAGGCTGCGTGTGAGTTGGGGTAGCCTCCCCGTGTAATGTGCATGCATGCCGAGAACCCTGAGCACTCCGAACTCTGCCTCCTTCTCGTGAAGCGTCCCTCTGGCTCATCTGTTGCCTTCACGGGCAACGACAGCGATCCTCTACAGCCACACTCATCTCCTCTCATGGGCGCAGCAAGACGTTCTGGGTGTCGCTGCTGAGCCAAGATCTGCCCAGATCTTCGTCACCCCGTCATCCATTCAGCCTCCCTCGCTCACCCCTCAGACCCCCACACTCGCCGCCCGACTCCCCTCGCCTCCTGACCAAGCTCCACCACGAGATCTACCATTACCATGAGCGACTACGTCAAGCTCAGCACCAGCGACGTAGCGCCCTTCTCCGGAGATGAGAAGGACTACCCTGATTGAGTACGGTACTTCCGCATCATGCTGGGGTTCGAGGAATCTGCCCTTCTGCGTGACACGGCGCTCGATAAGCACGTGCCTATCTCGGTGCAGCAGACGAAGCTCGAGGAGCTTCTGACGCATGAGCAGGAGATCGAGGACAAGCCCATCACGGCCGAGTACACCAAGGAGAAGAGGGAGGAGGAGCTCAAGCAAATTCACAAGCAACAGGAGAAGCTGAGGGCATCCATTCAAGCGGCCAAGCGGCTCCACATATTGCTCGTCTGCGCCTGCAAGGACAGCTCCACCAAGTACATCCTCGAGCAATACGAGGCAGGCGTCAAGGACACCTACGACGAGTTCGACGGTGTGCTGGCCTTCAAGAGACTCAAGGCTAAGAGGGAGTCCAACCCCGTCTTCGCCGAGCTCTCAGCCCAACATGAGTTCGACGCATTCATCTGGGACCTCACCAAGTCGGCCCTGGTCAACAACGGCGAGTTCAAGCGCCTGGCCGGCAAGGTCAATGCGCAGAAGGAGGTGCTCACGGCCACAGCGCTCAAGCACGCCTACATCAAGGTGGTGCGACGGCCTTCAAGCTGCCCATCAGCGAGAAAATCATCAAGAGCGACGTCACCCTCGACGATGCCATGGAGAGGGTGCGCAAGCTCGAGACAGCTGCGGCGATGATCGGGGCATCGCCAGGGCAAGACGCGAGCATAGGCGTCGGTGCTGCTGTTGCGCCAATGGACGTCGACGAGGGTGCAGGGGCGGCCGATGGTGGTGAATCCATCAACTGCAAGTACTGCCTCAACGACGGCCACCTCCACTGGGACTGCAAGCGGCTGACGCACGACAAGAAGATGTACAGCATCACCCTCTTCCCAAGCAGCCACCGCATGAAGCGCGCCGCAGAGCTACTCAAGAGCCACCTCGATGAGGTCGAGCGCAAGGAGAAGGTGCGTGTCATCAAGGACAATAACAAGGGCAAGAACAACAAGTACAACAAGGGACACGGTGGTGGTGTGCGTCGTGATCGAAATCGTCGGCACGAGACGCCACGAGACGACCAGCGGAATGCTGTCCGACATAGACGCGATCGCTCACTCACACCGGTACAGGGGAGAGAGGAGGAGCACACACACGTGCATGCTCTTAAGAGAGGCAGCACAGAGAGGTGCACACACGATTGGATGGCTGCAAGGTCTGAGAATCCTCGCGTGAAGTGGTGACGCCACCAGTCGAGAACGATCGACGCATTGAGACGACTCATGACACACGGACATGCTTGTCTGGGAGAGAGCCGTGCGTAGGGGAGGGAGATCGGATGAAGCCTGATCAACGCAAGACGTTAACGTATAGCGCAATGGCAAAATGTGTCCATCAGTCCATCATGAATTCGTACATAGACAAATCAGTCAATCAGCGATAAGCATGCCAGCCCCATCCACCGCACAGCCGAGCGCACCACCCAGTGCCGCCGGCCGCCACTCACACATCAGCTCACACCACGCGCCAATGCACTGGATGTCTGATGGGCTTTAAGAAGATAAAGGCCTCCTATTGAAATATCATACTTGTACCATGAGTCGAGCAACAAGTTCACCGACATAAACCATATCCATT